GGTATAGCCATTTTCTTTTAACAAACATTTTCACAGATTTCTGGTAACAGATTTTTTGTATTTCTGGAATTTTTACAGTTTTTTTTTCATTAAACTGGTGCTAAGCGTTGATAAAATGCAAACCCCATGTAACAGAAATGGCTTAATTTCAACATTTTGTTTCAGAAGCGAAAACAGAGGAAGCGAGTAAATTTCAGAGCTGTATGCCGGTAGTAATTTTGCGCCTATTGGCTTTGATTCTATCGGCTTGTGCTTGTACTGTTGTAGTCGCGTTTCCTTGTCTACGATTCAAATACAATGCGCCAGAGCTTATCAGTGGTAAGCCGTTTGTACTACATGATAGTGTTGGTGCGCGAATCACCGATCAACGGGTAATAAGCTAAAATTAGCTTACTTAGCAGCTGGCCAAACCCAGCAACACAAAACTCAAAATTTCGTCCAGATTTTACGTTGTTTGAGGGGTACGGAGCCTAAATGGAATCCCCACAAATGCCAACAAAAGGGTCGCTAACAACAGGGCTATCGATAACTTTGCAAAAACTACTTGATGTCGTTTTTAAACTTCCTTACCAGTATCAATTATCGAAATGAATCACGACTGCTAGATCTAGCTTCTGAAATGGCATTAAGCTGTAGAAAGTCCCACTCTTCAATGCATTAATCTCGTTAGCTAGGAAAAAATTATCAAGTCAAACACGCACTTCGGTGCCACCTGACGGGTGTAATACGTTTGTCACTTTACCGCATAGAAACACGACAGGAAACGTCTGAATGCAAGTGTTTTGAAGTTTGTCGCCATAACCACAGCGATAGTATTTGTTATTGGTAAGTTACTCAGCAACATGGTTGAAAGAAAGAGCGTGGTTATGCGTCCCTGCACACTATGCAAAAGCAAAAAGCATATTTCAAGAAGTTGGATGTATGTATGTGTGTTTATGTTCACTTTCAAATCAGCAACCAGAGCTAGGAAGCTGAAATTTTATGAGCAAATTCTCACCTCAGTCTACCCTCCGTTTCAAAAATCATCTTTCACCTGCTCCGACATTTCACGCACGGTGACTAGAAGGAGAAGGAAGTTTTGTGTAAAACGATTTTGACGACCACCCAATATAAAAAGCTGAAACTTTACAAAGATCTCCCTTATCTGTGTAATGAGCTAAAGATTTTAAATTTGTTTATCAATTACGCTTGCATCATGTATACCAACACATCAAAGTTCACAGTTGGTGCTTTGCTCACTCTGAGACTAATCGGAAAAAGATAGCTGAAAGTTGCGGAAATGTTTACGGTCAGTGAGGGGATTTTTATGCCTAAAAGAGATTGGGGCTGCGCCTGCCCCACTCGTAAAGGAGCGTAGAATGTACTTGTAGCAAAGAGTGCTTCGGAAAAAGATAAGCCAGAAAGTTAAAATTTTATTACTATATTCTAAATCCATTTGTGGCCAAAAGATTTCAAGTTAGCCTTGAGGCGCGCCCAGATTTTACGTTATACAAAAGTTAAACTTCACTTTTGGATCAGTTCAACACCCATTTAGCGTTGCAGCCAGAAAAAAATAGGAAGTCGCATTTTGTGTGGATGTTTGCCGTGCATGTACGGGTCTGTAAGCAAAAAATGAGCTTCTGCTTTAGTATATGTCCGCCGTACGGAAATGCTTTACGTTTAGATTATAATACAAGGATGCGCAACCTTTGGTGACACGCAGGCCTGATTTACGTACTTACTTAAGCTCTTGGGCCGCCTTTTAATAAAACCCAGGTAGCAAAGTATCAGGCTTGCTCCTGCGATCATAAGTAACAGTATGAATGGTTTGCTTTACAATTTAGCACATGAAACTCATGTGCCTATGTTTTGGTCTTTTCTTGCAAGCAGGGAAAAGGGCATCGGCTGGGAAGTAGTACTGGTTGTATTATGACCCCCGTTGCTGAAATGAAGGTGGGTTACAAAGTCCACCCTCTTCTGAAACACACACACACAGACATGCTGTACCCACATTATGTGTTTTTGCATTTGCATGAAGTGCAAAAAACATAAGAACAAATACGTTTTTACCGGATTGTGTTTTTACCAGGCTGGAAAGCATCAGGCCACTTGGAGCGTTCAAACTTGAACCCGTTAGGTTAACCGCATGAATAATTGTTTCTTCATACATACTTCATGCGCTCAATACCGTAAACCATCGTAAATTTTGCATAAACGAAAATAAATAATATCCGTTTAACGGTCCTTTTTTGAAAAGACCTACCTGTACAGTGAAGAATTTTCCCATCAAAATTTAAGTGCCCGTACACGAGAACCGCGTGTATCTGGAGGCTGAATCTGGAACCTTCAAGTTGTATTTAGACAAGAAATATTCTCCTAAAATGTCAGCTTTCCTGCCTTACTGGATCCTGAGTTATCTTTTCCCGCCAAAGCTTTCATGGGGCCGCATATAACCTGGAGGCTGGGCTTGAAATCTTTAAGTTGCGTATGGGTTGGGAGTATTCTCTAAAAATCTTAGCCCCCAGCTTCCCTGGTTCCGGAGTTAACCATTTTCCCGCCAAAAATTTTCATAGGGCCCTACATGAGATGCTAAAGTGGACAGTCTCGTCAAAATCAAGAAGCTACAAAAGAAAAAAATTCAAATATTATGTTACCGTGAAAATCCAAATACGACTTTAATAAATCATTATCTGCATTTGACATAACAATAACAATAAAAAAACCGTATAAAAACGACTATAATTCTCAGTCGGGCTCACCTCTCATTTCATCGATAACAACGACGACATCGACTTCCTCGCTCTTGTTTCTACTTCCTTGCCTCTTACTTCGACTTCCTCGCCTCTTACATCGACTTCCTCGCCACCTATATCGACATCGACAGAGGCACTCCGCTCAACAAACTTCTAGTGAACTCAATTGCAATGCGTGGTAAGCGTTTGTAAGAAGCTATCAGTTCTTCCCGTCAAAAAATCCTACGTGAGAACCGCGCAATCTGGGGGCTAAATTTGTTAAATTTCAGTTGGACCTGAACGTGAAATACTCCCCTAAAATTTCAGCCTCCCAGCTTCCCCGGCTCCTAAAATTAGGAATTTTCGTACCAGGAACCCTTAAGAAGCCGTATGCGGTTACAACGCACGCCTGGAGGCTTGAAATCTTTGAGTTCCATATGGGCGGGGAACATAACCTCAAAATTTTAGCCATCCAGCTTTCCTCATTCCCGACTTGGCAATTTTACCGCCAAAATTTTCACGTCCTCGCACGCGAAGCCCAGACGTGCGTGAAAGTTAGTACCACAGTCCTGGGGTGGCACTTGGCCGGGGAACCCAATAGCAAAATTTTGGCGCCGAAGCTTGCTTGGTTGTTGAATTGAAATACCCGGAGAGCCGAACATACACATACACACATATTGCAGCGCGTTTTTGTAATTTGCATAAAAATCCAAGCATGTAAAAAATAAAAATTCAAGTATGCAAATGAACTACATATTCATTTACATATTTGAATGAGGGCGGTCGTTTGTTGCAACGTAGGCTGGAACGCACCAGGCGAGCCGGAGCGATTATGCGTTTTTGCACAAAACTTGAAT